ATGACACAGCCTGACGGTTTTCAAATTGCTGGTCAGTCTGCCAAAGTTTGTAAGCTGCAACGTTCAATCTACGGATTGAAACAAGCATCTCGGAGTTGGTACATACGTTTCGACGAAACCATTTCCAGTTTTGGTTTCAAGAAGAACTCTGACGAATCTTGTGTATACAAGAAGGTCAGTGGGAGTGTAATAGTATTCCTAATATTATATGTCGATGACATATTGTTAATGGGTAATGATATTCCCGCTCTCACTTCTGTAAAGACGTGGTTGAGCGAGAACTTCTCCATGAAAGACTTAGGGGATGCTAGTTATGTCCTTGGCATAAGAATCTACCGAGATAAATCAAGAAAGTTAATAGGTCTAAATCAAAGTACATATATAGATAAAATCCTTGATCGATTTAGCATGTCTAACTCAAAGAAAGGATCTTTACCTATGACACCTAGCACGGTTCTTTCCAAGAGCCAGAGTCCTTCTACTCCCGAGCAAAAGGAACTCATGATGAAGGTTCCATACGCCTCTGCGATTGGATCCATCATGTACGCCATGATATGTACTAGACCTAATGTCTCATTTGCTTTAAGCGTGACCAGCAGATACCAGGGAAGTTCAGGAGAAGCACACTGGACAGCGGTAAAGAACATCCTCAAGTATCTTCGCAATACTAAGGATGCATTCCTGGTATACGGTGGTGAGGAAGAGCTAAAGGTGGTCAGTTACACTGATGCTAGCTTCCAAACCGACAGAGACGATTCAAAATCACAAGCAGGATATTTGTTTTTCCTGAATGGCGGAGCTTTTAGCTGGAAGAGCTTCAAGGAGGATACAACCGCCGATTCGACTAAAGAGGCTGAGTACATAGCTGCCGCCGAGGCAGCTAAAGAAGCTGTTTGGATCAAGAAGTTCATTACTGAAATTGGAGTGGTTCCTAGTATTAATGACCCTATCTCGTTGTTTTGCGACAACACTGGGGCCATTGCACAGGCAAAGGAACCGCGATCTCACCAGAAAACCAAACACACTGTACGACGCTATCACATCATACGAGAAATCGTAGACAGAGGAGATGTGATTATTTGCAAAGTGGATACTAACGGCAACATAGCCGACCCCCTGACCAAGCCTTTAGGAAAGCTAAAGCATGAGGGTCACACTAAGTCCATGGGCATTCGACCGATGCCAGATTGGCCATAGTGCAAGTGGGAGATTGTTGGAGTTGTGCCCTGATGGCCAACTGTTTATCGTTATTCTATCATGTATAGGCAGGTATAATATGTTTACACATCTCATGCTAATGTAAACAAATACTATATTCCTAGATTTATATTTAAAAGATGTTTATCAGATAGTGTTCTTCTGCTGATGAGACTAACGTCTTGAAATAAATATTTATCTAAATGTCCATAGTCGAGTATTAACGAGAGTGGGATATCGTTAATGCATGTGAGACTAGTGTGTGTTGGATGTTTGACTTAGTCTCATAGTCAATGACGGTGTATTCGCATCCGCACATGGGCAGATATTATCTAGAGATAATAGGATGCCGGACTGACCCATCCTAAAGATGTTGCTTGAACTTTTAGTTCATGCTCTAAGCATCTTTAGCGCGACCACGGGTGTAACTATCCTTCGACTTGAAGTATTACGTTTTCTGCATATGTGAACCCGCATACTTTGATGCATTGTCCTAAGCCATATGAAATAAGGATGGTATACAGGCTTTGTTTTGGGTATGCCGCAGCGCGTATTCAGAAACGTAGATTACGTACATAGGATTTGTCACTACTCTTTTTAA